ATTAGGTATTTTGTACTTTTGATTTTTGTACAGTCATGACTTTTCTGTTTTGTTCTTTTTGTCTGTAAGCCATGAATTGTATTGTACATGATTATTTTGATGAAAGAAATATAGATGAATTGTTCTGTATATTTGGAAGTCTATAGCAGCTCTGTGTTTCTGTTGTTTTTATATTTGGAAGAAAGTTCTGAAGCAAGTCCCAAAACTAGATCCTGGATTTCAAATTTCAAGTTCCGTCATGACTCGATGAGAGCGGGATCCGTTTTGGTCGGGTTGGGTCGTGACAAACTTTAGTGGTATCAGAGCACTAGTTTTGAAACTTGGATTGTAAGACAGAGCTATATGAATTGATCTGTAAGTCTGTCGAGGTAGTTCTGGTTTGTCTGGATTTTTATTGTGTTGTTTTATATGCATAGTTTTCTGTGTGATTATGGATCTGTCAGACCCAGATATTACTGATAGGCAGAGTGCTAGTCAGGCAACTCCTGTGAACAGTTCTTCCCTAGTGGTTGGTTCTGATACGGTTTCTCAGTTTGCTATGTTGGTTGCTGTTTTGATTAAAAAAATATATTTATATATATATATATATAATTTTGAAATTATAATATTCTTAGTTAACGGATGGGCCACGGAAGCTCCGTAGTGCTTCAATTTCAAACGCGGCACTTGCGGTGGGAATGCCCGATGCCGAATGCCGACTTGCCGGGTACCAACATTAGTCAAAGGTGTCTGCGTTTACCTCTACCTAAAGTCGCAAATATTTATTGAGTCAACCAAATTAGCACGTTGACTCAAGATTAATCTGGAGCTATCATTTTAACTAACTTTCTAATTAAATATGCTATATTTCAGGTTTAATTTAAATTAAAAATAAGATAAAAAATGTATTTATTTAAAATTCTCATTTAAGATTTGTTTATTAGGGCTTATTCTAAGCGGTTATAAGTATTTTATAAAATTGATTATGAGACTATTGTGTAGAAAATAATTTCATTGTTATGAATGTAATAAATAACTTTTTTTTTCATAGAAATTTTTAAAAAAATTACGAGCAAACAACAATTAAATAAAATTATGATTATAAATTGAAAAGCAAAACAACTAAAAAGTTATCCATAACAATCCCTCAACCTTTCATAGTCTTTTTTTCTATTAGAGACTCTTTCAAAAATTCAAAATAATTTTGCTTAAAATTCTTTATAATCAATGTTTATTCACATTAATTCATTTCAAATCAACAAATTCATGCAACTGTACATAAATAGAACTAAAATGCATGTAATGATTGTACATGCATGATTGAAAGAGCATTATTATGATTGCTATATATGGAGGTTAGGAAATAACTACAATTTAAATTTTATTTGAGATCATTTTTTTATTCTTTTTTAAAACTTTTTTTTTCTATAAAATTTTAATTTAATAATTTTTATGCCAACAAATTATTTTAAGAAGTAGTAACAAAACGGTTACTAATGAAGTCTTAGTAGTGAATGATTACTTTTTTGTTCAAAAAATGTTAAAAAAATAAATTTATATTTAGGAAGGGTGAATCATATTTATCAACCTATTCAATTTATAAAATAAAATTATTAAATATAATTTAAGCAACCATTAATAAAGAGAAAATCTATTATAGGTAAAATTTAACATAATAAATGAACTCTATTTCAGAATTATCATTCTCTCAGTTTTTTAAAATATATTTTTTCATTTATATTTTAAGAGGTTTTAAATAAAAGTCTCCCTTTTTCGTAAAGTAATATAATGTATAAATTATATTATGGTATGAAAAGTAACCACATTGGATAAAAATGGTGAAGATGAGCAGTGTAATTCAGTAGGGAAAAATTGATAAATTATTATATGATACTAATAATGTGCTAAATTTAAGAAGATATTGCTTAGGAAAAGCTATCACTAACCCCGAGACTCATCTATGTGGTAATGAAATAACAATTGAGTAGCTTTTTTTGAAGAATAATAAGATTAACTAACATGATTTTCCTTGTTATTATATGGGGATTCATCTAGGATTGGATAGAAATCTTCGCTACAAATATGGACAACATACATCATAGATGTATTGGAGATGACTAATAAGAACTCAAAGGCATTATCTTACTACAAATTATCCAAGGGCTGCAGTTCGACACAATGAAGTATTCTTGATACGTACAAGTTTTGATTGTTCGGTTTAATTTTGATTTATGGTTTCTTAATATAAAGCAAGTCTAAGTATAATTTGGTTTGAAACGTTTATCCATTAGAAGGCTCATGAATTAGCCATTGCTTGACATCTTTAATTACTTTACATTTGCACAAATCGAATGAACTAGCTTGAAAAGATTGCTAACAAATTGAGATGATTTAGTAAGATTGAATGAGCCACTCACTTAATCTTCATTCTTGCTCCAAAAAAATGTGAAAGGAATCTTGAATGTGAAATAATTATATGATAATTTATATGCTAGCATCAAAGATATTTATGATTATGATTGAAAAATCAAGCACATGTCGTAGCGAAAATTTTATTGATTCATATCACTTGTGATGATATGTCGATATATGACTAGTTATTTATTTTGTATTTATTTAATGATGAAGTTGCATGTAATTGATGCATGATTATGCATGTTGCTTTACTTGCTTTGCAAAATAATTACATGTTCGATTTTTTATTGTCTAGAAGGTTTATGCTCTATACTTAGTGTCTATGTATATGTTATTTTTAGGTAAAAATAGAAATGTTATGGAGGCATAACATCATAAACTAAGCTGATTTTATTAGAGAGAGTGCATTATGTTATGTTGTTCAAATTGGCATAAAAAGGGTCGATGTACATATATCATTAAACAGTATATAAAATTACAATGAAAATATTTAGCATTTTCATAAAGTTTGCTGTTTTTTGGATTCTTGTAATTGGTTATATTGAAATTTTTCCTCTCTATCACACCTGGTGAGGAGAAGTGTTATGCATTTTGGTGGGACATGACAAATAAAGCACCCAATACATTAAAAGAATATTTGTTTTATTGAGATACTTTTCACATCTTTAACACATCTTGAATGCAAAAGTTTCATATGAAAACTTATAAATAAGAATACGAAAAGAAATTGTAGATAAATTATGTTGATATGAAATTGAATATATGCTAAGGATTCATAATTTTAATTGTCATGACAATTAGCTAATTAAATTCTTAATTTATTAAGATAAATATAAAACTGTCTATCATATTATCTTATTCCGCATCCCTGTCATACATCACTAATTTAAACATTAAATATCATATGAAAATAGGTTATATAAATTTTTTTATATAAAAAAATCATTGCCCTATTGACATCAGAGGAGCAGAAAAATAGTAAAAGGTAATACTTAAATAAGCATATCTATATGATTAAAATTGAGAAAAAGTGCCTCGTAACGATATATATTATGCCGCGCAATCTAAACATAATAGCATGCCCTACGTAAATATTTTTTTTTTTATCATAGTAAGATATTTTTTTAATGTATAGAATTTAATAAGTAGTAATACTAAAATACAAAAAATAGTGGGATTGAGTAGATTGGGAACGGGTTAAGAAACCGGGATTAGATGGTAAAGCGGAGAAGGATAGCAGTAGTTTTTTGTCCGAGAAGCTCTGGGGATCGCCAAAGCGATCTCCGGAGCTGAGTCTAGTAAAAATTAAAAAAAAGGAGTGAATTTTTGTTGTCCACTCTCTGTAGCTTTCCCTTATCTTCCTCTCTCCCCCTCGGTCGCCATGGATTTCGACGACCATGATGAAGCCGAGGAGGAGATGGGGCTCTCCAACTACGAACCCGGGTTGGGTAATTCCGGCCGGGAGAAACCCACTGTAACCGGAGCGGGCGCAGCTGGAGTTTCGGATCCCGGCGGTGGGTCGAGTAACCGTAAACCGACAGCTGGCGTTCGTTACCGCGAGTGTTTGAAGAACCACGCGGTGAGCATCGGCGGCCACGCGGTTGACGGCTGCGGCGAGTTTTTGCCGGCCGGGGAAGAAGGCTCCCTCGACGCGCTCCGCTGCGCCGCCTGTAGCTGCCACCGTAATTTCCACCGCAAGGAAGTCGAGGGAGGAGGGGAACCCTCTCCGGGATCTTCGGCCGCTGCGGCGGCCGCGGCGGCAGGGTTTCACTCTCCATTCTCCCCTTACTATCGCACGCCGGCAGGCTATCTTCACCACCATCACCAACATCAGTACGCCGCGGCTGCCGCGGCAGCAGCAGCCGCGCATCATCACCACCGACCGGTACCACTCGCGCTGCCGTCGACCTCCGGTGGAGGGCATAGCAGAGAGGAGCTGGAGGACGTCTCAAATCCAATGAGTTTCGGCTTCGGCGGCGCGGCCACAGGGCCGTCTTCCTCGTCTGGTAAGAAGCGGTTTCGCACCAAGTTCACGCAGGAGCAGAAGGATAAGATGCTGGCATTCGCTGAAGCGGTGGGGTGGCGGCTTCAGAAGCACGACGAAGCTGCAGTGCAGCAGTTCTGTAATGAAACATCAGTGAAGCGCCACGTTCTTAAGGTTTGGATGCACAATAACAAGCACACCCTTGGTAAGAAACCATGAGATCCTCCTCTTTCTTCATTTGTGTCGGCTGCTGGTTATCTAGGGGTAGCTTTTGTTTTTGCTTCTTACGGTTTATTTCAGGTTTTTTAGTTGGCGCGGTAGCTTAATTACTTTTTATGCTGGGTAGAGAGGGAGATGTATGGGCCATTGCTCATTGAGTTGGTTGTTATATTATAGAAACTTGTGGATGGGGAAGTGGGAGTGGGGGTAAATCACTGTTTGATTCCTTGGTGTTTGTTAAATTTCTTCGGCTGCTCTCCCGTCCCTCTTCTTCCACTTTGGGGTTGTATTAATTAATTTGTCGCTTGTGTTTAATCCATTGTATGTAACTCTCTCTCTCTCTCATTAGAATGACAAAGAGTAGCGCTCCACGAGAGCCTGATTCTGTGAAGAAGTTTTGAAACGTGGCTGCCATGCAGATTTGATCGCTGATAGCATTGGGCTGGTCGCATTACGTTTTTGTTTCTTTGTTATGCGGTGTTTCTGCGTTCGGCAGTCGCTGGGGCTCCATTTCTACACACCATTTTCTTTATATAAATTATTGAGAGGTAATAAAATTGATAGCGAGTGGGAAAGAGATGGGTACTGCCGGAGAATTTGGGTTGTGATCCTGCGAGAGGAATTGAGTGGAAGGTAGGAATAAATTCTATTGTTTTATTCCACGCGCGCGCTCTCTCTCTCTCTCTCTCTTCTGCGAGCCATTAACTCGACTTCTCCGTATTTGATCACGTCGTCATGAGCTCAAGCTTTCTGGTTTTACAAGTAGACATAAATGGGCAGTTATGTGGCTATGGAGAAGACTCACGGGAACACCATTTGCTCTATTTCTTCCGTTCATATGCTGTGATTTCTTCAGCGGCCGAGGAAATGACTAGCCTCAAACTACTTGTCTTGGTTGCATTTAAGACTACTTTTATTTCAACTTCTGGCCGGTAAGGGGGTACAACTCCTCACAATTAATGCTAACATGAAGCTCTCTCTCTCTCTCTCTCACTCTCTCTCGATAAGCTTCTCTTTCTAAACTCTTTGCTTTTTTGCGCGCAACACTGGCACAAAAGCTACATTAAATGTAGCCCTTAGGGCCTGAAACCTCAGGCTTCATTTCTTGTTCCCTTCTATGTCGAAAGTGAGAATGCCACTTTTCTCAAATCCTTGGATTAAAACCTTATCCTCCGCTTCCACTCACAGGCTTCCCAAGGCCTCTCCTTTGTTCTATCCAAGACCACAAACTGGTAAGACGGGATTGAGAGACTGGAGTACTTTAACTTAAACTATGCGCCAAAAAAAAAGACATAATTTAACGAAATTTAATGGTTTATGAATTATCTTAATAGAAACTTATGCTTACTGATATTCATTTAGGATCTTGTGGTTAATTAGAAATTATTTTTAATACATTATCTAAATTTTTTAGTCCAATTTAACCAAATTATTGTTATATTGGACGTGTTTATTAAAATAATGAATATAAGTATTTAAAATTTGAACTTATAAAATAATTTAATATATATTAATCAAGTGGGTTTTTTTAAATTTATGTTAAGGGGTTGTTTGATTGGCTATAAAGTTAATGCAGTGTAAAACAAATGCATTGTAAAGTAAATACTTGAGGTTGTGTGGTTTTCTATAAATTGAATGCATGATAATTGTTATTTTTATTTGGTTGGGTGTATGCATAGTAAAATAAAATCAGAGGCCCGTTTGGATGAGCATACCTATTCTCAAATTAAATTTATTTACCATATTGAAGTCCCCCAATTAATTACAAGCAAGCTTAACATTCCTAGAAAAATCAAACATAGAAGACAGACTTTGCGGCTCCAAGTTTCGGCACGAGGTTTTCCAGCCATCTCGTGGCTCCTAGTTCCCACATAGAGTGGCATACATTGTGTTGCTCAGAAGTGAAAAAGCATACCTCATAGCAATCTTGCTTTTTTACATCCTTGCTTCATCCAACTTTGGAGGCAAAGGGGTTGAAGTAGCGAGGGCCGACAATAATGGCAACAACCAAACTTGATAACCCTCTACATCCTCCACTTGTCGTCAGCGGCGAAGGTACTTAGGCTCCAGTCCTCCTCCACCCGAACAATCCCCGGTTCGCTCCCCTGGTGAAATCCTTTCCTGCACCTTGACAACGGAACATGAATGCGCCCTCTCCAGTTGTGGCATCATCTCGATCCACTTGCTATTTGGGAGGAGGAAGAAACAAAGATGCCTTCCATGTGTTGCTCTCTCTTGCCTATAGAAATCCTTTTTCGCTCGATTTTGAGCAAGTTCGCTTTACATCGAAAATGGACTAACGTGGGGAGTTAAGAATACACATGGAATTTACTCTACTTGACCACAAACCAAAAAAAAAAAGCAAAGTATTCACTATACTATACTTTGCATTCACCTTTTCTCAGAACAAATAGCTCCTAATAAAATAATAAATTTAATAATTGTCATTTTGAATGATATTAAAATAATGAAGTTTAGTTTGAATATGATCATTGTTGTTGGTATCAAAATTAAAATTTGAGAAATCAGATTTATTATTTTTACAATTAAATATAAAATATTGATAATTAGATGTGCTGCTTTACTATTATCATATTAAAAATAATAGTTAGACTCATAAAAATTATGATTTTAGTTTATTGTATTAAAGATAATCTATGATTAAGCATAGTATTTTAAATTAAAAATTCTTAATATAAAATTATTCTGAAATATATGACTTCTGCAACTTGATATGTTATATGCCAATATATATTATAAATTTTGACGAAGACATTTCTAACATCTGAATAATTTCATGAAAATTTTCTTAATTACATCAATGAATTAAATTTTAGATTCTTATCCTATATTTTAATTTACAACTCTTTAATTAAATTCATTGAAAGCACTCATTCTTTAAATTTATTTTGCTTTATTGTTAATTCTAAAAAAGTAAAGTTTAAGAAATTGACCCATGTTATGGTTTAGTGGAGATACTTGCAATTTAAATATGGGCTTCACAAAAGCAAGACATATAACTGTTTTTTTATTTTTCATATTCATATATTCTTGAATGAAATTTTGGGGATGCCAATGTGTTCTCCTCATTAGGGTTAAGGTATTAGTCAAAATAATTACCAACTATTATTGAAGCCAATCTTGTCAGCTTCAAAATGAGAGGTTTTTTTTGCAACATCTTATTCAACAAAGGCTTCATTTGGGACTAGGGCTGCAAACGAACCGAGCCGAGCCGAGTATGTGAGTGTTAATGTTTGTGTTCATTTAATATCAGCTTGTTCAAGTTTGTTTCATGTTTGTTCGAGCTTTATTGTTTGTGTTCATGTTTGGTTCATTTAAATTAATGAGTGTTCATGTTCGGTTCATGTTCGTTCGTTTAGTGCTTATCGAGCTTGTTCGCGAACATATTTAAAGAATTTTTTTCAACTATCAAACAAACATGTTCATGATCATATCTATAAAAAAACACATTTATAATAAAAGCAATTGTCTATGCAACAAAGACATTGATTATTTATATAGTTTTTTAATTCTATAGTCAAATATTAATTATTTTTATCGAGCCTATTCATGAGTTCAAAATCGAACACGAATCGAGCTTCTTATCGAGCTTAATGTCATGCTTGTTCACGAACTTCAAATGATGTTGTTCGTGAACATAAATGAGCCGAACACATTAGTGTTCAAGTTTGTTTATTTAAGAATCGAGTATTTAAAATATTGTTCAAGTTTGTTTGTTTAGTTAATTAAACAATCACAAACGAGCTTTAATCGAACCGAACATCGAGTAGCTCGTCGAATGTTTGGTTCACTTGCAGCCCTATTTGGGACGACTTTTTAACTGCATCTTAAAACATTTTTAAAGAGCAGTATGAAAGCCACCAACGAAGCCTAAATTTCATGTAATATAAGAATGACTTCAAGAAGCTTGCAATCATTAATTGTTATTCTTTTCTTCAATAATCCTATGAATTTTGATCATCCAATTATTGAAAAAGTAATCTGCGGTGGTCTTCTTATCATTAATTAAAATCTCCCTGTCTAATGAAGTACATATTGAACCATAAATGTAATGAATAATTCTCTTAGAGGTTGTTTAGTCGCAAGTAAAATAGACGCATTGTATTTCATTTGTATGAATTTATATTTTTTTTAATGTTGATTTAAAGGAAATTAAGGAAATATAATATAAAATTTCTTGGTATATATTAAAAATGCCCTAGAAAATTTTCTTCCTTGCATTTCAAAATGGTTTGATTTCACTAAAACTAAATTCCCATGTTTTCTCCGAAGTCTCCTACCTTTCACTGATCCCATAATTTCCTCTTGATCTCTCAACCCTAAGTGCAATCCTTCATCGATATAGGCCTCTCGCCATTAAGCTGGTCTACTATATCCTAGTCTTCCATTGATGCACTAGCTCATTAATTATCTCCTAACCTCCTGTCCCAGCACGAGTCATCTTTATTGCCCTTGCCAATCTTCTCCCAATTTACTTGTTCCCTGTTGTCATTTAGGTCCCCTATCTTTAAGGTATGCTCATAACTCATGTATTAGCTCTTGTATTGGCATATTGTTTATAGAACTATGAAGAAAAATTCGTATCTTATTAAGCCCTCAGTTCAAATTCATCAACTAAAATTGATTAAACGCTTGTAAATCATATAATTTACTTGCCTTTTTTGTATTATTAGTTGTCGCATAAATTGTATAGTGATTATAATACTTGTATGACAGTTTTTTTTTCTAAAAAGTAGATGCTTCTGAACATTCCAATCATAAGTTATTTGGAGTTAGATTTGGGGCAAGTGTGAAAAATTTATAAACATTATTTGGTAGTAACGAAGTAACTTACATGAGGATGAGTTTTCAGGATTTATAGAGACTGATCAGTATAAATGCACTAGATATGATGTTGATGATATAAAAAATCATGATTTAGTTGTATCTCAATATATTAATGGGGATGAAGTTGATGATAATGAATATCAGATAAAGCGCTAGCTACAAACACAATAAAGCTTGTAACATTTGCATCCCACATAAGAATAATATAGGGAGATATGATGTTGATCACTCTTTGTTGCAATGGTTGATAGTGCAGCTCAAGTTACTAAATGTAATTGAAAGTCATTCATCTAATAGAGCTGCATAAAAAAAAAAAAAACAATTGTTTACTAAACTTATTACGGGGTTGTAAGTTCTTTAGGATTTACTAACTTGAAGATTAATATCATATATATGAAAACTTATCAATGATTCCAATTATGATTTATTCTTTCCTCTCAAAATCTTTAGAATCCAAGGTAGGTATAGATGCACTAGGAGTTAAGAAATAATTTTTGTTAACCTCATGAGTCATGAGAATTGAGTGTAGCTCATTAGTGATTT